AAACATGCTGTTAATTTCGGTGTGGGTTACGGCAACGGTAAACTTTTTTTTAAAAAACCCTACCCCGGTGGGGAATTTGGTTTTTTTTTTTTTTTTTATTTTAAATTTTTTTCCTCCCCCCCCCCCCCCCCCCTCCTTTTTTTTTTTTGGCGAATTTGTTTGTATGTAAAGTTCTAACTGGATACTACGTAGGATGGGCTGCCTATGCTTGAATACCTAACCTACCTCCTAACGTATAAACTACGATACGATATGATACCCGTATAAATATCGTCGTTGCAGATGTTCTATTTGGATACCCGGGATGAGCGCCGTACCAATATCGAGTGTATTTCCATTTCTTTCTCTTTTGGAGACACCTATTATCAGCCTGCGCTTTGGTGGATATGTATGTATGTGGGTAGATAGATACTGTATTAGACCTAGGTTAACTTGTAGACATGGCACATAGAACTAATTCCTCTTCCGGAGCGCCTCCTTAGCTCACATGCTACAAGGCTTTGTTTACGCTTGCGCGTCTCTCTTTGTTTTTTTTGTTTTTCTTAAAAGGACAGATCTGCGTTTCAGTCTGCTGACTACCTAGTAAGATCTACTTCGTAATTCCTTTGACTTGTTGTGCTTGACCACATGCATCCCATACCTCGCTTAGCTGTCATAAAGAAACTTCGCTACGGATACACGTGTATGAGGGGCTGCGTGCTGCTACATAGGTCGTGGCTTTTAATAACGTAAACTACCTCCTATTAGGTAGTGCTTTGACACCGAGATCACGCCACAATCTCCGCGCCGGCGCCGGCGCCGCTAACTTCCTGCTCCTGTTTGACGGCCGCCGCCTCGGCCTTAGCGCGCTTCTTCCGGGCTCTGCGGACTTCAATTTCCACCTGGGCCATCTGGGCATTGACGGAGACTAGTTTGGGGATGACCTGCTCGACAGCCTCGATGCTTTGCGCCTGCGCTTGCCGTAGAGGCATGGGTGTCAACAGCCCGAACCATCTCAGCGGGTCTTTCCGCTTCTCCTCCTGGAACTCGCGAGCCTCCTCCTCTTTCTCCTCTTCCTTTTCTCTCTCTTCTTTACTCGCTTCCTTGGTGCCGTCATCCGTAGTAGCTCCCTTTTCCGATGGGGCCAGCAGCCCAGCTTCCGCGCTCCCGGCAGTGACGGCAAACGCGGGAATATCCTGGTCGCCGCCCAGAGTGATAGCCACTTTTCTAGAGGCCCGCATGCGCTCGTCGTAGTAGTCTTGGCCAAACCGCATTCCGCGCTCGGCGGCAAAGTTGGCACGTGCAATGTTTTGATATATGCCTGTTTGCAGGCTGCTGAGCTGCTCTCTAAGCGTCGTGTATTGATGAAGGAGGTGAAGATAGCGCTCTAGGAGCTTGTCAATGTGGTCGACCTCCATGGTGGAAATTAGGGCTGTCCTTCTACCTTATCGGAGAGGAGATATTACAGGCTTTAGAAAAGGGGTAATATTTGTGGACTTCAACATTAAGACAGTGAAGTTGAAGTTACGGTAAGTTGAGTAAGTCAACGACGCCACACTTGGCTAAAATGTGGCTTGACTAACCTATAGAAGGTAAGGTTAGTGGAAGGATGTTTAGGGGTAGATACCGAGGTACTTGGCTGTTTTTACTTATTCAACTCGCAGAATCTTCTACATTTATTAAACTACTTTCTAATATAGCGAATAAGAAATTGTACCGAGTAATTTTATATGGCTCTTACAACTGGCATATGCAAACTGTCTTGGCCTCATTCTTATCTGCAGAACACACCGTTCATTGCGAGCCCTACCAGAGGATCCAACTGGCCTAAGGACAAGATGCGAGAGACAGTTGTTTCCAAGAGTTGTTTCCAAGTTCGACTTTGAGGGATCGGGATTCGAACCAAGTATCCAAAGCCCCATCATAAAGATTATCGTTTGAACTCGAAAGCAGGGTTGTATAGACTATAGCCTCCCTTCACAACTTTGTTTGCTTCTCTTCCCTCCACAATTCCCATGCCGTCATCCAGTCGATCCCGAGGAAGATACGGAGACAGCTATTTAGCCACCAGAGCCGCGGTCTTCGAAGTCGGGAGTGCCGTGACAAACCGTAATAACGAACAAGGCGTTACGGGGAGGCCTCTCGAAAGGCCATGAGGGTTGTACACATCTCTCTCTTGTGCTTCCAAACGTATGTGTCGCGATTGACAGGCTTCTTTTTACAACGCCAATTACAAGATCAAGATCGTCTGGCCGTTGCCTTGCACTACTGCCCACGTAGTACAAGTGTCCTCGTCCGGAGCGCGTACGAAGAGGCTTTCGTATGATCTAGATGTGAGCATTATACCAATTGTAGCTGTAGCTGCAGATATCCTATCCTGACCCTATCCTGACCCTATCCTGAACCCCTTCGATCGACTGCTTCGCCACGGGCACCATCATAGTAATCAATTACCTTGATTACACAAGAGATAGTGTACCTAAACGCACTCTCTTTCCTTTTCTTACCTTACCTTACTCCGACTGCGTGCGCACTTAACTTGGGACAGAGCAAGAAGAGCGATTTTGCGAACGAGACACGGCTAGGTGAATGTTCATGTGTCGGAGCTGCAAGTCTCGCTCCGAGTATATATTGCAGACATGGTCGCGTCAACGAATTGTTCCGCCCTGCGTCTATTAACTGCTGGCTCGTTGTGTATCACTGCAGGTTGCATGCAGATTAGTCCTGATTATACAGCTATGTAATACAGGATACAGGTAGGTTAGGTGTAGGTTAGGTGTAAGTTGGGCTATGAAGTAGATATTGAATATTGAATGTAAATTGTATCCATCATCTCAGCTTCACAGCTGTCAAGGCAGGGCTGTCGAGGTCCCATGTGTCGGTATGTATGTACATACAGACAGGGCGAAACTAGGTAAGTTTGCTTATTTTGTTTTGTTTTGTTATCAATTGATGTAAGGCTCGTTGCGTAGATTTGTTCTAGAAAAGGGGTGGGAGGGTCTTCGCCTTATCTGCAACTTTACAGCTGTAAGTATCCTTCCTATGTAATCCTTCCTTCACCTTATGTACGTCGTCATGAAGGACCCTGATGACGCATGAAGAAAAGACACGGGGAAAAAAAAAAATAAAAAAGTTATGCGCCCGGGTCAATTAAGCTAGTCAGCCCCAGACTAACCCAAAATGTACGATATTATTATGCTTCGCATGTACCTGTGTATAAGAAGCCTAGGGTCGATAACACGGGGTTACGACTTCTACGGGATAATCAATAATAACATGATAGGACCATAGGTAGTCAACAATTGCTAAAATGATCCATTGACCCTCTTAGCTCCTTACTCCTTACTCCTTATTGATTTCCCGAATCTCCTCCAGGCATAAAAGTATCCAAAACATTGCCCATATCCTTATCCTGGTCCTGGCTCTTGTCGATACCATATCCATATACCTGCAACTTTTTATTGTTAGTGTTAGCGATAGCCGTAAATGGTGAGACAAGGGAATTTAAAAAAGGACTGTAGAAATGACTACCGTCTTTTGTTCACCATTCTCTTTATCTTATTCACGTTTTTTCTATCTGTTATTAATGACACAGCAGGTCGTATTAGTCAGAAGCTATACAGAAGTACCTATGTATGATCCAGTCAATTGGCCTTGGTATGTGTGGTGTGATAGATATATACAGTGATGAATGTAAATCCGTAGCAGATCCCCTAGACGAATCGATCCTTTAGCTGCATGTCCCCATAGCTCCTGTCAAGCTGTATGGGGCATTTCGAAGAAATTAAGATCAAAAAGGGGAGGTACGTACCATTTTATCTACAGGTATGTACCTATGTACTATGTAACATGAGTCTGTGCAAGTGCAAGTGCAAGTCAAATCAAAAACTCCCCTAAGCCCACCTGCAATTCCGCGCCGCTTCACACCCCAATCGCACCCCCGAAGCAGACTTGCCTGGCAAGCACACCCCCAAGCCGGGCAAGCCTCAGGGAATAGAAAATCACCAGAGCACCAGCACCTGCCGACCAAGAACCAACCCCCAGCTTCCCAGCTTGAAATTCCCACCTGCACTTGCACTGCATTGGACCTGGTTCTGCCGCCTGCCAATCTCGTTGAGCTCAGTCCCTACCTGCCCTGTTCCGTCCCGTCGTCCTTGATTCTTTCTCATCCGCCGATACTTTTTCGATTTCCATTTACAATTCTCTTTGTGATATTGCATCTCGCGCCGAGTCCCCAGCATCCAGCATCCAGCATCCAACATCCAGCCTCCTAGTCTTTCCCTTCACCGCCAGCACCTATCGAAGTTTAGTCTTGAGACATCGTCCCCTCCAAGCCTCAAACTAACCCCTCTGGCTTCTTTTTTTTCTTTCTTTCTTCTTCCCTGACGCCTTTTTTTTCTCCCGCGAGTCAAAAAAACGGCCGATACCTGCCGACATTTCAAGACAGCTCGCGATAAGACAACTTCTTAATCAGGGACATCAACATATCGTACCTGCTCCTGCAAAGGAGCTTAGCAAGTCAACATGGTTGTTGCAACAATCAAGTTAGTTAATATTACTTCCTTTCTTGCTCTCTCTATTCTCTTAATCATCTGCATCATTCCCCATTCCCCATTCCAATACATTCCCATGATGGAAAGGCGCGACTCCGTTATAGACATGTCTCCATGGCCTGCGACTCTTCTTGATGTTTCATGCACATATATTCCACTTTGCTTCTCAGACGTATGCCATGCGTCATTACTTTTGTGCTTGTCTAATACTATACACACCCCACGACGATGTGACAAATTGCTAATATCTTGGTTCTACCTGCAGGTGCGTGGTTGTTGGTGATGGTGCTGTTGGCAAGACTTGCTTGCTCATCAGCTACACAACCAACAAGTTCCCTTCGGAATATGTACCCACGGTATTCGACAACTATGCAGTCACGGTTATGTGAGTTCCAATACGAGATTTCGAATCGTGCTCCTCTTCAAACTGCGACCCCTGGTGGGCTCAAAATGTACTGGCCAAACGGTCAATTGGATTGTATAGTAGGGTTTTGAGGTCAGCATGGACCGAGGCTGACATTCCTTCCCTTGTAGGATAGGAGATGAGCCCTACACTCTTGGATTATTCGATACCGCCGGTCAAGAAGATTACGATCGTCTACGACCCCTATCATATCCGCAAACCGACGTCTTCTTGGTGTGCTTCAGCGTTACATCGCCCGCCTCCTTCGAGAACGTCCGGGAGAAGTGGTTCCCCGAGGTTCATCACCACTGCCCTGGCGTACCTTGCCTCATCGTTGGCACCCAGACAGATTTGAGAGATGACGCCAGTGTCCGGGAGAAGCTTGCCAAGCAGAAGATGCAGCCGGTGCGCAAGGAAGATGGAGAACGAATGGCCAAGGAACTCGGTGCGGTCAAGTACGTAGAGTGCAGCGCTCTCACTCAGTATAAGCTGAAGGACGTATTCGACGAGGTTTGTTGCTTCTCTCTTGGATAAGTAACCCAATATTCTAACTATTCTCAGGCCATCGTCGCAGCACTAGAGCCCCCGGCACCGAAGAAGAAGCCTCATAAGTGCTTAATTCTATAATGTCGTTTAATTGGACAAGCCATAGGCATTTCCTCCTTCATTCCTTCAGCATCACTACAGGCTGCAACAACAAGCTCCAATGAGCATTGGAAGGCGTAAGGATATGTCATTTTGGACCTTTTCCACGACATCTGCATTTCTCGTAATAGGCGATTTTTTAGACATGTGCGCTTGTGATAGCACAAGTGGATAGGATTCAGAATGAATCAACTACGCGCGGAAGCATACCGCCTAAGTGAGGTAGCATTGGAACAGCTAGACTAAGAGATGCCCATATAGGGTTCCAGTTCTAGCCTATCCAGGGCAGAAGAAGCCTCTTACAGTCCAGAAAATGATCGAGGTCCGGAATATAGACAGATACACCAATGGCGGACAAGGGCCTGTCCTCGACATAAGAGACAAGGCACCGACTACTCTCCCTCTGGACAAGAACTCGAGTCATACTGGCCCCGATTCTGTTTTCTCTTTTTTACTACTTTCTAGCAGCCAGGGTTTGGAGGGGAATTCATGAACGCAGGCAGACAGGACTTTGATAGGATTGTTTGGCGATCGGAGTGCATCTGAATTGATTTGATCGTCTATCTTGCCAATAATATCGTCAATATCGTCTTGTGACTCTTTGATGGCCACTTGAACGTGTTTGTTTCTTGTTTTATACCCGGGCAGTTGTAAGTTCTCTCCAACTTTGACTACCGAATCTGATGTTTTACCAATTACCAACATTAATTTTGCCTGCTTGACCCCAAATAAGGAAGGAAACATTGGCAACGGGTGAAAATAACCCGACTTCTACCGATTATCAATTATACTCCCATATCCCATCTAAATCCGTAGCACAACAAACTACCTACGTGGCATGCTCGATGTCTCGGTCAAGTATGCTATGTAGACGGAGGACCACGTATGAGGGCTATGTTATCGAGAGGTATACTTTTCGTAACACAAGCCGGAACCAGACCCGTAAAGGTCGCATAGCCCTACAAGTGCCACATGCATCGGATATAGAGTTGAAGTTTGTTTTCTATTTATATAATTTTACTATATATTTTTTCTTCGTTAAAAAGTCTGTCTCGGTGTAGCTACACAATTATTTCGATGCTCTTAGATCGGGTATTCACGTACACACTACTGCAACCGTCTAACAGACCTGCATATTAGGTACATGACTAGTAGCAGTTCTGTATACCTACATGTATGTATAGTCTGGATGTATAGGTTAGGTAAGCTTTAGTCTCTAGATGAGGTAATTACCTCGGCGGTATCAGGAATGGAGCTGAAGAAAAGAAAGATTACGGAAGCCTATGGTTTTTTTACTGTTAGCTGCATAGTAAGTAACAAGCTTCTAAGTCAGACAGATCTTGCGTCTTGCGGGTAGGATGAGACGGCTAAATGTACCTAATGTGGAATCCTGTAAGTGCTACCAACAACAGGTTTTTTATCTTCTTTTTTTATATTTTCTTTTTAAGTAAGCTCATGTACGTATCGTATCGTCAGCTCATTACGGATACACGATTAAAAACCCATCGGGTCGGCTTTAATCCATATACTTCCTAATACGAAAAAAAAAAACCAATTGTCTAAGACAACGGAATGATGATGGCATGGCTTGCGAGAACAGAAAGAGGCAAGGCAAGGCAGAATACGAAATGAGACATGCCGCCATAGGCTAAGAGGTCTACGATAAAAAACGCCATGTTATTCAAACTCGCATATGACACCTCACTAATTGTACCCAGCCGTCGAAAAATGAAACGTGGGGTCCCTACGCTGCTGTTTCTTCTCGTCCTCTGGTTTATACGCACGCCTATTAACAAGGTGAAGCTACCTACAATAGATGCATATACTACTACCTACTACACACCATACGTATGCACTCCAAGTTTATGCGTTCCCATTAAGGAGAAAGACCTGCTGTTAAGTTATGGAGCCTGTTGCAGAACGCCCATGGCTGCTGCAAAAAGATACGCTATCGCCGGAGCCGGGATTCTTGCGCATAGTAGTTCTAGGTAGTTCTAGGGTTGCATTGCATGGAAGCACCGCGACTAATGGAATGCGGACGGGTACCTAGGACTTCTTTTTTTTCTCTTGGCTTCGCTCCGGACCGCTGCCGAAACTACTGCTGCTGCTGCTGCTGGCTGCTTATCTACTCCGCTCCGGTGTGGGATCGCACAAGGTGAGATAGTAGAATATCTATAGAGTAATGTCTATCTCGGTATCTATCTAGAGAGATAAAGATTGATGCTGGAGATATTATAATACGGGATTTTCCTTGACGACTTCTGGATTTGAGAGTATTCGCTTACATCCTGCATTTGCAATTGCGTTTACCTCTATTTTGGGTTATACGTCTCATATAAACAGAGCAAGACACGATGAGATCGAAAGAACTTATCTGTCTTGCCTTAAGTTGCTTCTCAGCACTTGTCCGAGCTTGTGGCGGACATGATCATCCAGTTAGAGAATGGACTCAAGAGGAGCTTGACGAATTAGAAAAGAAATGGGGGGCGGAGGTAAGCAACAGGACATCTCGTTATTTCGACTATAGTATATACGATATACAGCGAATAGGGGTGAAAGACCCAGGCTGAATGTATCGAGGGAATGGCCATACTCAAGGATACGACGATATCCATGCAAAAGAAAAAGGGTGTCGTCCTCTCTCGACCTTCAGATACATATAGAAATGATTTTCAAATCGCATATTTAACCAGTCTACCGAACTACATACATTAACGACTTACCGTGTACAGTGGGGGTTCTCGGGTATTTCTACGTTCGCCCACCTGGAATATCACAAGTGTCTGACGACGCCGAGCGAGCTCTTCGACATCGCCATCATCGGCGCTCCCTTTGATACCGCCGTGAGTTACCGGCCCGGTAAGTCCGCTTCGTTTATATACGGGGTCACAGATTCATCTCTTACGAGGAGTTATATTATCCTCTCCCTCTCTCTCTCCCTCCCCTATTTCTACTTCCAAAATCTAGCTACATAATCGCCTGCCCCTGAACCGTACCACTAAGCAGATAACATATAACAGGAGCGCGCTTCGGCCCCCGCGCCATCCGCGCGGCCTCGGCACGACAGACCTCCTTCCGGGGCTTCAACCCCCGCGCCGGAATCAACCCCTACGCGAGCTGGGCGCGGATCCTGGACTGCGGGGACATCCCCGTGGTGCCGGTCGACAACGCGGTGGCGGTGAAGCAGATGACAGCCGCGTTCACGGAGCTCGGCGCGCGCCCCCCGTCTTCGCCCTCCCTACACCCGCGCCCCAAGCTCGTCACGCTAGGCGGCGATCACAGCCTCTCCCTGCCGGCGCTGCGAGCGGCGTTCGCGGCCCACGGCCCGCTGCGCGTGCTCCATTTCGACGCGCACCTGGACACCTGGCACCCGGCCAAGTACCCCAGCTACTGGGCGTCGGAGCAGTCGCGCTTCACGCACGGCTCCATGTTCTACCTGGCCGGGGAAGAGGGGCTGATCGCGAACGGGAGCGGGTCCGCGAGCGTGCACGCCGGGCTGCGGACGCGGCTGTCGGGGCTGGAAGACTACGAGGACGACGACGCGCAGAACTGGGTGCGCATCAGCGCGGACGACGTGGACGAGCTGGGGACCAAGGGGGTCGTGGAGAGCATCGTGGGGACGCTGGGGACGGAGGACCCGGTGTACTTGTCGGTCGATATCGACGTGCTGGATCCGGCGTTTGCGCCGGGGACGGGGACGCCGGAGCCGGGAGGGTGGACTACGCGGGAGCTGATACGGATACTGAGGGGGATCGAGGGGTTGAATGTTGTGGGGGCGGACGTGGTGGAGGTTGCGCCGGCGTATCAGGGGGTTGGGGAGGAGACGGCGCTGGCGGCGGCGCAGGTTGTGTTTGAGATATTGAGTAGTATGGTTAAGAGGGGGTTGAAGGAGATGGGGAAGACGGGGGCGAGTAGGGAGGGGGAGGGGGATGGTGGTAGGGATGAGTTATAGATGTAGATTGGGGTGGGTGTTGTGATAGGGGGTTAGGGGATATCTATATGGAGCAGCTCTGTTTCGAGCGCGGGCAGAGATGCTTGATGTGTTCGGAAGGAGTAGCTACGGGGTTGGGAGTTATGCTTGATGGAGAGTTTAAGCTGGAGGTTATGGTAGGATGATCTGCTCGGTAGACGGTATGATAGAGTTATCGTGCAATGGTGATAAAATAGAAGAAGAAGAAAAAAAGAATTACTAGAGTCCTGATAATTCTATATTTCAGCACGAGGATTCCGAGTATAAAACCAACGCTGGTTTCTTATGGTACGGGTTAAAAGGGGTAAGACATCTAATGAAGCCATCTTCATAAGTACCTCCCTACCTACTCGGCTCAAAATGAGGGTGAGACTTTCTACTAATAAATCAAAGTATAAGAATATCTCATCTAGACAACACAGATCCGCCCAATCTGTCACTATGTTGATGTTAAGAATTCTATATTAAGAAACCACCATTATTGTTGCTATTATTATGGCTGTATTCTTTCAAAGTAGAGTAGATATCTGTATGTTTATTGTTAATTATCTCTGAGATGATATCCGATATCGCAGACCAGGTCAGTCATACGTAGGTACATGGCTAATACGGGTATTTGCGATGAAGTAAGAAGTACAGACGACTAGATCCTGGGGCTTGGAGAGATAAGAAATGCATGTGGTAGACCCTTGAAACTGGTGCTTCATGTTACACATAGGCTGGCTTATCTTAGATAATTTCAATTTCGATAGGGTGAGCTTCTGAAACTGGTATCAATAAAATTCATCGGAGAATGGGTGAGTCAACAGCCAAGTATATAGATTTTGGCAAAAAGAGGCAGAGCAGATAAATACCGGCTAAAGGTATTGAAGTAGATAGAGTAAAAAGAAGGAACAAGCCAAATCAAGTGCTACTTCTTATCAACACTTTTAAGCACTTACCTTAGGTTAAGTTGTGACAGATACGCCTTCCCCGCCATCGAAAGAGAAATCGACCATTGGAATTTTTAATATTTGATTACCCCACCACATCCCACCACAGCCCACCATCGATTTCATAAACCCACTAATTCAGTCCAGCTTTCACATCCATCCCACCTTCGAACCCTCGAATCTGCGAACAGAATTTGGGAAACAAACATCGCCGCATTCGCGCAGCTTATAACCCTCGATATTTAGACGGGAACTACCGTCTAAAATAGCGCAATCATGTCTGCAGTTCAAGAATTGGCCCAGAGGGTCAAGAACGACGAAAAGTGCTACGTTGACACTGACGCAGGCAAGGACGACGAGACTGCCGATGGCTCTGAGTTCAAGCCGTACAAGTCGCTGGCTTACGCCTATATTCAGAACTTCGAGAAGCCTACACCCCAGTACCAGACTCGAGCCTCCGAAACTGGTCCCGTTGGACCTGACGAAGACCCTTCCGTAAGGCTTTTATGGAAGGAACCCGCCAAGAGCGCCCTCAAGAAAGCCCAGGGAGCCCTCGACGCCCATAAGAAGAAAGTTCAGAAGCAGCAACAGGCTGCTGCTGCTGAGGCCGAGACCAAGAAGCAGAGGCTACAGAACCTCGAGGCTGCTAAGAAGATTGTGCTCAAGCAAGACGAGTCGTTACCTAAACCTATCAGGATTAAGATCAGCCGTAAAGACATCGAACTCGGAGAGGGTGATAAGAAGGGCACACGAGTCAAGGTCTTTGGAAGAATCCACCGCCTACGAGTACAAAAGCAGGCAACTTTCATTACCTTGATCGACGGATATGGACAATTACAATGCATATTGGCAGCTGGTGACCTTACTAAGACATACGATGCTCTAACTTTCGCCCAGGGTACCTCGCTTGCCCTGTATGGCGAGATGCGTAAGGTCCCTGCCGGACAGACGGCCCCTGACGACAGAGAGCTGCACGTGGATTACTATGAGGTTCTAGGCGCGTCACCAAGCGATGAGGATGCCATCACCAACAAGGTCTCGTCCCAGCAGAACCAATGGGATGCCCAGATGCTTGATAACCGACACCTGGTTCTCCGAGGCGAGAATGCCTCTGCGCTCATGAAGATACGAGCAGCAGTGGAGGGCGCTTTCACCAAGGTCTATGAGGAACTACACCTCACTAAGGTCTCGCCCCCTGCCTTGGTGCAAACCCAGGTCGAAGGCGGCGCGACTCTCTTCAGTGCACCCTACTACGATGAAATGGCCTATTTGACCCAGTCGTCTCAACTCTACCTCGAGACCGTTATCCCGAGTCTTGGGGATGTTTATTGCATCGAGAAATCATTCCGTGCTGAGAAGAGTTTGACGCGCCGTCATCTTTCCGAGTACACCCATGTCGAGGCTGAATTAGATTATATCAACTTCAACGAGCTGCTAGATCACCTTGAAGAAGTCATCTGTCGGGTCATCGATATTGTCCTTGCCAACCCGGTTATCGCCGCTCATCTGAAAGAACTCAACCCCACCTTCCAAAAACCCGCTCGACCCTTCTTGCGCATGAAGTATACAGATGCCATCGACTGGCTCAACGCGCAAGACCCCCCTATTCTGAACGAGGAGGGCAACCCCCACGTCTTCGGAGATGATATCGCGGAGGCCGCGGAACGTCGGATGACAGACATTATCAACCGGCCTATCTTCCTGACACATTTCCCTGTGGAAATCAAGGCCTTCTACATGAAGAAGGACCCCTCAGATTTACGGGTAACCGAGAGCGTAGACTGTTTGATGCCGGGTGTCGGTGAGATCGTCGGTGGTAGTATGAGGATGGAAGGGTATGAGGAGCTGCTTGAGGCATACAAAAAGCAGGGCATCGACGCCAAAGACTACTACTGGTACACCGACCAGCGCAAGTGAGTCCCCCCCTCCCCCTCGAATTCATCATCTCGATTTGAAGCTAACTGTTGGCATAGGTACGGTACCTCTCCCCATGGTGGATATGGTCTCGGCCTTGAACGATTCCTGGCTTGGATTGCTAACCAGCATACTGTCCGCACGGCTTGTCTATACCCCCGCTTTATGGGACGATGCAAGCCTTGAGCGGTGATGACAAGTGTTCCTTCTTAGATGCTGGGTCTCTGCACGAGGTTTGCCGCTGGGACTTGCGGGAAGCATGCGACGACAGATCTGGTGGATCCGAAGCAGGATATGATTGGACTTGGGGAAAGCGGTCAAGCTTATGAGGAACTAGACGATGCTTTCCGAAATTAGCCATTCCGTTATTCCGTGAATAGACTGTTCCTTCGAAGGACACGTCGGCGACAGCTAATATTCGAGTCTTGTTGGCATTTCTCCGAGCGAGAAGGACATGTGGTGACCGACTCTCCTAACTAAGCCATAGATGATCATTTGCTAGCTTTGAAATCGAGACGATCTTTTCGTACTCTCAAGTCTCGACGCCGCTCGTAATAAGCCATTACATAACTGGGCGTCTAAATTGTTCCTTCGTAGTCCTAGCCGAAAATAGAGTCAGCTGTCCTTGATACTATGTAGTCCCGGATGAGACTTCTCGTTTTTCTAGAGTCTAGGCTGAAAATTTGGCTACAGTGAGATAAGTTATAGTAGTTAATGTTTCTTAGTACGTGGATTGAAATGAGATGGATATGAATATTTGATGGGGTTATGCGTATATTTGTATTCAGTATTTTGATTATCGGGCTAGGAAGAGTAAATCAGCAAATAAAGCGAATCTCGGCATACGAGCGATGTAAATGATGCGAATATCATGAAGAACCCGTAAACTTTTACAGTTACACGTATTAATTACTAACTTGTGATGGTTACAAGTGGCGGTATGTACATATCTACATTAGATACACAAGACAAGTTGGCTTGCTCCACGATTTCCGAGCAGGTACATTGATTAGTACTAACTATTTTTAAGATGTACCTATCTCATGTTCTACCTACTAATAGATGTAATTATCTAATAACGAGAAATAAAATTCAACCAGTCAACTTCAGCGGTATGTTATTGGTGTTTGTGGCATTGTACATATGTAGCTGGTGAGCGAGATTACAGCGTTTCTGCAAATACATACACAGGCGCAGTCTTCCCGTCGATTAGTAGAGGGTAAAGTTTGTTAGGTCTCTCTGCGTGGTCGTACTGCATTCCGCGCTAATATATTGCGCACCTCGGGTACCTTGCCGTAGCGCCGTAGCAGGGACCGCAGGGACCGCGTCTTCGGGTGGGGCGGGGTGAGGGAGGGAGGTTGTCTGGTTTTACCTATTTTTTCAATCGGGGATTTTTCCTGGGAAATAGGGGGTTTTCCTTGGCTGCATTCTGAGTGGTGTATGAGGTGGTTTTTGTTTATGGAATATGGTACCTCTTATGTATGCGTACCTAATGTACATAGTAATAGGTAAGGTAAGTAAGCAGAAGTTGAAATTGAAGAGAGAAAAAGAGAGAAAGTAAAAAAAAAGGGGGGATGAAAGGGGTCGATATAAATCAAATGTGTAAATATATTTTGTAAATATATTTATATTGCCTATCGTACATAGAATCCTGCATATGCAACTTTTAATGCAGGTGGCTTAGAGAGAGATTTCACAGATATGCGACTTATACGGATTACCCGGGGAGACATACATAAGAGAGCATGGCATGGCAGCATGGCTGACATGCAAGGCACAACGTCTCTGCCGTAAGAAGCCGCCAAACATTGCAGGAGGTTATGCGGGGGGAGGGTTTGACGATGGATACGACGATATATCAGAGTGTCATATCGCACAGCTGAAAGTGCGCTTTAACTACCCTAGGTACCTACATATGTAAACGCCTTAACGTGCGGAGAATACATAATATGTATTGTCTCGAGGTCACGTTAGTCTCGACACCATTGACGAACGACAACTTGCGATACCAACGAGACCTAAAGGAATTGATAAGGCTAGGCCCTAGGGCTTGGGTTTGGGTTGTCCGGTTCCAGACCTAGGGGATCCCAAATCGAGATGACCGTTCGTGGTCCGGACCCGCTGGACCTGTCTGAACCATGGATGGGCAATTGATCGTCTCTCGTACCGCATTCATGTCTCATTAGTGTACATACATATGTACACTAGATGGAAGCTCTCATTAGATAGTGTAGAAGCCGGCTTGTAGATGCATGGAAAGAATCGACGAATGTGTATCGTTTCGTTTCTATTCTACATAGCGGCAAGACGGAACTGTTTTCGCGGATATGGATAACCTGGCTAGTGAATTCGCGATGCATTGCTATCGCAGGGTCTATATCCCCTGATCCCATCGGCATAATGTTTTTGACAAGCTGTAACTCGTGTCTAGACCCTGTAGGCCCCCCATGTCTATTGGCACGAGTCTAACCCGCTACGCTGCCGATGGGGCTCTTGGAGTGCGTACACTACTACGTACATAGTAGACGACGGCGCTTCCCAACCCTCATATATACATATTCGAATGCCCCTTGACGAGGAAGATATTCGAGACATTGAATATTGAGATATTGAGATATGAACCGGTTCTATGTAATCTTATGCTGCCATCTCTAGTGTAGTCACCGGAAGTAATTTTAGGCATCGGGAGAGGTCCGTGGGACAAGTCAATGGGGTCGCCGAGTCTTGGCGGACTGAATATCCCATCAAACTCACAAAGGTCATTGAGTTGAAACGTCGAAAATGAGGCTGAACTTTGACATACACGTAATAGCTGTCAGCCGTTGGAATTTCTTAGGTTAGCTGCAAGTCGAATATCAATTGTTCTCTTGCACTACTTATTCCCTCCCCCCCATTGACCGTAGATATATGCATATATGGAAATACGCATACGAAGTAATACTTAAAACGCGTGCGGAAATAGCCTGTCTGTCCCCGATCTGAAACTACGGGCAAAGTCGCGTGAGGGATGGGGTTGACCTTTTTAAGAGACAAAGACGCGGAATATTACTCGTAAGAGTACCGTCGCATACGTCTCTTTATTGGAATGGTACCTTTCATCTTAACTTGCTGTATTTAGCGTCAGCTAAAAGCCCCCCCTGTTCCTCTGGGGGGTGGACAGTTACCCAAAGGGACCATTTAAGGGGCACCTAACACGGGAAACAGCTTCGACTTCGTACGGTATCTCAAGTAGGTACCTAACCCAAACTTCCTTAGACTGGGTCTAAAATACCTACATACCCGGTAGGTACCATGTGGTAAGAAAAGGGTACCTAACTCAAAAAAAAAAAAAAATAAAGGGTACCTACACCACTGTTGAATAGGCGTAAGAAAAAAATAAATAAAAAAGGTGGGTGCCCAGGTGGAAGGAAGAGATGTTCAAAATAGGTTTAGCAGCTGCAGGCTATTTCATTAAAAACTTAGCGCCCCCCATTTTTGGACATTTTGGCAATCTGCACCAACCGAAGTCGTCCAATTATTTTCCTCCATTTTTCTGCTCGTCTCCTTCTCACCTTCCTCCCTCCAGTCCTCTTCCTCTCCTTCATACGGAGTAGCTCAAGTCTCTCTCTTTCTCCTCCTCCTCCCCCCCTACCTTACGCTCTAACTCCTCTTCCTCATCCTTATTCTACCTCCTATTGTATCTTACCTATCCAATCCTTCTTTGCTGCCTCCTCGTTTTCCAGAGCCATTGGGATCTTTTTTCCAGCTTTTATTTACCTACGCTCATTCGCTATAACTTTCTTAATATTCTTTATAAACTTCCGCGCGCCAAGATATTCCTATCCCTTTTTTTTCTCTCTCGCCCAAGAGACAGCTCTCGGCCAATTTTAATCTGTCTGCGCCAGCTAGCCCGTAGCGAATCTACCGCTGAACCCTTATAAGGACTCGACGACGAAAGCTTTGTCGTCGCTGTAACTTCTCGACGCTCTTTTCTAGCAAGTCGCAGTTCGCTCGCTTTGGAGGAATAATCTTCGTCTTTGTTCGACATAGTCGGACCATCGACACGGATCAAAGGACAGTATAAGCCAAACTGACGCTTATTCGCCGAGGCAATCTATTCTTGTCTTGCCTTTTCTATCCTGGCCAGATCTAGGTAATCCCGGACAACATTTACGTTACCGCACTCTACGAGATATTTTTACCTCGACCGATTCGATTATTGCGCGTCATCTTGGCGAGAAACCACCGAACCGTTGCATATAGCTTATATCCATCTTCCTCGGTGGTGCCTCTTTATTCGATTAGAGATACCCCTTATATTTTCAGCTAAACTATTGTTTGGACAAACTCGAAGTTGTTCCGTTTACTCTTTGGCCCGATAGCTGTTATAATATCCAATATTGCTTGTTATACTAGGATCCTAGCGACGTTCCGGGTCCTATTTCTGTATTCTGCCCTCGTGCCTATTTTCGGGCACGTGTAATCTTTCAAAACGGCGGTTTTATCGCACGTCTCGCGGGACAGCCTTGTCCCTCCTCATCTTCTCGGGATGCAGGACCTCTCAGTCAACGGTGGCGTCCCCACTGGCCCTGCCGGCAACCCAGGCCGATTTGGCCATGTATCTAAGCCTTCAAACAGCGATACCGGTTTCTCTCATGGCGCTTTCACCTCTAATATCTCTGGGTTCGCCGACAGGCATCCCCGCCGTGGCAACATCCCTTCGATCAACACCCAGAACCAACTGAACCCGCCTGCCCCCAATAACGTTCCCGATATGACTACGCCTGGCACTGGTTTTGATATGCAGTTTACTCCTCTTCTTCCGTCCCAATTGCTCCTCGGCAGCCCGTTCCAGCCCGGAACCCCTGCTGCTTTTGCCAGTCCTCAGTTCCAGAACATGTCCGCATTTCAGCATGGTCAACAGCATAATGGTCAGCAGCAGCACAACAACATCGCAAGTCCCGTTCAGCAGAGCCTGTCTCCTCAAGCCTACCAGTCGATGGTGTCCCCCTCCACGTACGGCGCTCCTCAGTTCTTTCAGCCGCAGTCTCCCAGTGGTTCTTTCAACATGAATGGCCAAATGCAGCCTCAGTCGCCAACTCTAAGTCCCGGTATTGTTACGGGTACTAGCAGGACTGTATATCTCGGAAATATCCCCCCAGATACTTCCGCCGAGGAGATTCTTGGTCATGTGAGGAGCGGGCAAATCGAATCCGTTCGACTACTTCCCGACAAGAACTGTGCGTTCATTTCTTTCCTCGACGCTAATGCTGCGACCCATTTCCACTCCGATGCTATCTTGAAGAAGCTCTGCATCAAGGGACAGGATATCAAGATTGGTTGGGGTAAGCCGTCCCAGGTACCCACCTCAGTTGCGTTGGCTGTCCAGCAGTCTGGCGCTTCTCGAAATGTTTACCTTGGAAACCTCCCAGAGGACATTCCCGAAGAAGAGCTACGCGAGGACCTCGGCAAGTTTGGGGCTATCGACACAATCAAGATTGTCCGGGAGAAGAACATTGCTTTCATCCACTTCTTGTCTATTGCCAATGCTATGAAGGCCGTGCAACAACTGCCCCAAGAACCCAAGTGGCAATCGCCTCGCCGCGTTTACTACGGCAAGGACCGATGTGCCTATGTTTCGAAGACGCAGCAGCAGAATGCGGCTCAGTATCTCGGTATTGCACCTGGATATGCTCACATGTTGACCGGCCAGGACCGCGAAGTTATTTCTAGTGCTCTTGCTCAGCAGTCGGTAGCTGCCGCAGCTGTTGCGACTACGGCTGGTGGTATAAACAATCTTGGCAACCGAACAATCTATCTGGGCAACATTCATCCGGAGACCACGATTGAGGAGATTTGCAACGTCGTGCGAGGTGGCTTGCTTCATCATATTCGATACATTCCCGATAAGCATATTTGCTTCGTTACTTTCATTGATCCCACTGCGGCTGCTTCTTTCTATGCTCTAAGCAATCTTCAGGGTTTGATGATTCACAACCGTCGTCTGAAGATTGGTTGGGGAAAGCACTCCGGTGCTCTTCCACCAGCCATTGCATTGGCTGTTAGCGGCGGCGCCTCTCGCAATGTTTATATTGGCAACTTGGATGAGACTTGGACTGAGGAAAGACTGAGGCAGGATTTCTCTGAATATGGTGAGATTGAGTTGGTCAACGCCTTGCGTGAGAAGAGCTGTGCTTTTGTCAACTTCACCAACATTGCAAATGCCATTAAGGCCATCGAGGCCGTTCGAAGCAAGGAAGAATACAGGAAGTTTAAGGTGAACTTTGGAAAAGATCGTTGCGGAAACCAACCCCGACAGCTTCAACAAGCTCAGTCCCCTCGTGGAGAAGGTGTGGCTTCGCCTCAACCAGTTGGTAGCGGAAGCAACAACTCTCCGACCAACCCGACTTCGCCCCAGTCTGCCAACAACGTCAGCATGTTTGCTAATGGCAACAATCCGCTCACCCTGTACTTGAACCAAGTATCGCAGCAGGCTCAACAGCACCAGCAGCAACAACACCAAATGCTGGCTTCCCAGCAAGCAGCGTTGTTCGGAACTGCTGCATCTTCGCCCAACGAGCTATCATTGGATATTCCCCAGTCCGGTTCCGGCTCTGGTCATGGACAGTCCGCGAGCATCTCGAACGGATATGCGAACAATGGATCGGGTGCGCCGACGATTGGTGGCCTTCTTGCCCCTGTTAATGCTCGAGCACAGCACAATCGTGCTGTGAGCCTGCCTGTTTTCGCTCCTGGGTTCGAGAATGGAGGGAACAGTCCTGTTAGCGCTATTGGTGGCCCAAGCGAGGGAGAGCGCCGAGGACACCAATATCAAGCAAGCTTCGGTGGCATGGGCTCTGGCCTTGGCCTCGCCATTCAGGGTGGCCTGAATGGCTGGGTCGAGGAGGAGGTTGCTAACTGATTTGACACGCCGTTCCAAAGGCGACTACCAGGGAAAGATAATATGTTGTAATCGCTGCGTTGATTTTCTTCGGCGTTCTTTATTCAGCTTTCAACGGCTACTGTTGGCATTTCCTGTATGATCTTTGTAAAACCCCTTGAACTTTCCCGGTCATTCGACCCCACGAGAAGAAAAAAGGTTGTTAATCGACTTTGCGTCCCCCCCCTGAAAGAATATGATGATGTCCAATGCCTTAATTTGGGTAGTTGGGACGTGTGTTGGGAGAGAGCTTCATCTCTGAAAATGAGATTTGAAGCAGGTTCGATAGGAATTTTGAGTGATGGGAGGAGTGGTATGAGGATAGATGGAAATAGAAAAGGATGTGGCCGATGGCGGTCCTGATTGTCGAGAGGTTATTGGTAGTATTTCAGTATCTCTTGGTATAGCTCTGCTGTCATCGCATAACATCTCAGTCTTAAAATATGATAGGAGGGTATTAATATGACAATTGAAAAGCTCTCCTGGTTCTTCTGTTTTGTGATTTGTCGTGTGAATGTTGAAGTCATCTTTAAGACACTGGAGCTTTCAGTCCAGTTATATCAATATAAATGATATTGTATTCTTGCTTCTCAACCTAATGCTTAACTTAACCATGTAGCGCCTTGGTAATGTTCTTGATGCTGATATTCGGAAGTATTTATCATGTAATAGCTTATATACGTATGCGCAAGCTGAGCAGAGTTTAGCTGCAGCTATAAAACGCCCATATCCTTCTTTTTATCCTTCTAATTCATCTCTTCTCTTCCACTAATCTAACTAGCATACCACTAACTTGCTTCATTTGCGAATTATCTCATTTTCGCTCATATACCTTAGGTACTCATCAATAACCGGCCGGCTCGGGCTTTTCCGGGAATGCAGGAGCCTTGATGTCAGTCCTGCACTGCTGCTTCCAATTGCGTGGGACGAACTTGTCCACGATGGCTTTGAATGCGGTCTAGTTATTCGGTTGTTAGCTCAGAGATATATTTTACTCCTGTTAGAATAGCGTAGGTATAATGAACGTATTGGCGTGAGTAGGCAAATGTAGGAAACTCACCAGCGTGCAGAAGCTCTCGTCGCCGTCGAGATGCTTGCCCGGGGCTCTACAGCCCGGTACCGTGACGACCTCGTCATTATATCGTATCCGCACGTAGTACTCCTCCAATTTCGCCCTCTCCTCGGTTGATAGCTCCTCGCTCCGCTTGCGGCCTATACTCGGCGGGGGACTGCCGGGATTTGCGCGGGCCGAGAATAATGAGCCGAACCAGCCGGGCTTGTTAGTCCGGGCAGGACTGGTTTCTGCCGAGGATGTCGTCGCCGCGCCCTGCTGATTCGGGTTTGCTGATTTGGAACGGGCGGGGTCTGATTTCCGGAACATTTCGATGGCGATGTGGCTTGTGTAAGGGGGCCACCTACCGCTCTCGTATGCTCCTAAGCTGGCTAATACACCGGCGAGCGTCGTATCGTGGCATCCGCTCAGCCCGAAACTGATGGGCGTAGCACCCTTATCTTCCGTTATAGGTCCGCCTTTTAGCTTCCCTCCTACCTCATACTCTCCGTCGGCAGTCGAGCGCTCAGCGCTACCTACCATGCGGCCTACGACGTCACCTAATAAGCCTCCGATTCCTAGTGCCCGGTACTCTTGACTCTCCTTGTACCCCGCGAACCACTCCTCGACGCCGATTTTCTCGATGATCTCGCGCCCCTTCGGATCGTAGAATTCCTTAGGCAACCGTGTCTGCGGCCCATGCGCTAGTGTCGAGTTGATCGTGTCCATGATACCACTTAGACGTGGCCGTCCGTCCACAGCCACACGCGGCGAGTCCTCCGGCATCCATTTTCCGTACAACTTATTCAGGTACGCCATTTCCTCCGTCTCGTTCCAGCGCTCGGCGGTACGTTGTGCGAAAGCCCGCGATAGCGCCGCGAAACGTCTACAGTTGCTGTCGTTAGGGAATAGGGTCTCGTCGCCCGGGGCGCGTGTTAGGATAGCTGGGGTCGGGAAATTAGGGGCCCGCGTATGCGACGGATATAAACCCGTGAACGTCTCCTGAACAGAGTCCATTGCTCTCGGGATCGGCGTTGCGCGTAGGTACAGGCTATCGGCATTGAGCAAGACCGGAGGCAGGAAGCGCAACTGGTCGACATAGAGAGTACGTAGACGAGTACCAAGGTCGAATGTGGTCTCGCGGCCGCGGTCAGTCAACATACCCATCTCGCACACGCCGTCAAGTTCACCGGCGGGGCCTTGGGCAAGCACAGGCTCGTCATTGGGGCCGAATGCCTCGAGGCGGCGTTTCCATTCGAAAGTGGAGAATTGGCCGGCATGGCGGTCTAGCACGACGGACTTGAGCTGACGGACGGCGCTGCAGTAGGGCCAGAAAGCGGGTAGGCCGGCATTCTGAAAACGGGCGGACACAGGAGAACGTTCGCCATGACGGAGGAGGACCTGGACTAACTGTAGCTGTAGATTCTCCGGGTATAGCGTCTTGAGTTCATCTTCTGTGTACGGAGGCCTGGGGATTAGGGATGTCATGATAATAGAAGACTGTTTACTCGGCTAGGAAACAAGTCCAACCTGAATTAAAGCAAAAGTTGGAATTATATAATGACGGAAACGAATAAAACTTTGGTACTTTAGAATGCCTTAAATTTATTTAAGGATTTGTATTAAGAGATTTTAATATGTAGGTAAAGTTTAAGTAGTGTTTAATTTAGTTTTGTTAATTTTACTTTTTAATTAAACGTTAATTGGTTAAAATTTTACATTAATTGGTTAATTTTACTTTTTAATTAAACGTTAATTAGTTAAAGTTTTACGTTAATTAATTAATTTTACTTTTTAATTAAACATTAATTAATTAAAGTTTTATATTAAACTTTACATTAATTAATTAAAATTAAGCGTTAATTAATTAAAATTAAACATTAATTAATTAATTTTATTAATTTTATTAATTTTATTTTAATTGTTTAATATAATTATAATTATTTTTAACTTTAACTTAATTTTACTTTATTTAATTATTATTATAAAAGATATTTTAAAATAAAATTTTATTTTTAAAAATAAATATATAAATATATATTATAATATTATAATATTATATTATTTTATTAATAATAATTATTTAATTTATAAATTAATATATAATAATAATATTTTTTATAAGTTTTTTTAATTTATTAATATTAAACATTATTATATAAAATAATTATAATAATATATAATAATTAATATTAATAATTAATAATAAAAAAAATTCTTAAAAATTTATAATATAAAATAATTAAATATATGTAATTATAAAATTTAAGTTTTTTTAATTTTTAAAATATAATATTAAATTTATAAATCCTCGTTAATATATTTAATTTTAAAATTTATAATTAATAATTATAAATCCCGGAATTAATATAAATTTAATTTTATTAAACAATTTAAATAAAATATTAAAAAATTTAATAATAATAATTTTTTTAAATATAATGGGAAAAAATTTAATATAAAAATTGTTAAAATTTAAACTTTATATAATTAAAAATAATAATAATATTATATTAAAAAATTTTATATAAATTAAAATGGTTAAATTAATTATATATATTATTAAATTTATATTAAATATAAAACCTTTTATAATATATTACGTTTTATTTATAATTTTTAATTTTTAAAAAATATTTTTAATAATATTAATTAATATATTTTTAATAAAAAATAAATAAGTTAAGATTTTTAATAAAAAATTATTTATTATTTAATAAATTATTTTAATAATTATAATTTAATCGGGCGGTTTTAAATTATATTACGATAAAAAAATATATGTTTTTTATTTATTTACTTTTATAAAAGTAATTATAATTTAAAAATTTATATTATAATAAATTTTATTAATCGAGATAATAACTTTAATATTATTTTTTAATATAATATCTTTTTTAATTGTTATTTTTAAGTTAAAGATTTAAGTATCTTTTTTCATTTACGTTTTATTTTTTAAACGTTTTAATAAAAGATTAAAGATTAAATTTATTATTTTTATTTATTAATTAAAGAAATAATAAATATAAATTTTAATTATAATTAATACTTAAAATAATGTAAGTTATTTTTTATTTTATATTTAAAAAGTTTATTTAATAGTTTTAATTTTATTTAAAATATAAGTTTATTTAAATATAATAATAATAATTTTAAAATAAGTTTAAATTAATAAAAATTATTATATAAAATAATAATAAAAATATTATTAAAATTTTTATTAAATTAATTACAAGTTTTTTAAAGTTATTAATAAATTTTTAATAAATTTAAATTTAATATTATATTATATTTATTAATTATTAAAATATTAATTTTTTTTAAATTAATAATTTTTTTAAGATTTATTTTTTAAGATTTACTTATATTAAATATATTTATAATAAAATGAATAATAATATTATTAAAATGTGTATTAATATATTTAAACGTTATTATAACCATGATTTTTCTTTTTATATTTTTTTTTTTAACGTTTTAATTAAAGTTTTAATAATAATATTTTTTTTAATTTTATTTTTATTTTTTAAATAATATAATAATTAATATTTATTATTTTTATATGAAATTTTAATTAATTTATATAAATTAATATTATTAAAATGGCGTAAAATAATATTTAATAAAATAAATTGTTTTTTATTTAAATGTTTTTTTTCGTATAATATAAATATAATATTAATTTAAAATTACTTAAAATCATATTTTATATTTAATATTATTAATTTACCGGATATATTTTTTTAATTTAAATGTAAAAAATTATATATATTTATATTATAATTTATTTTTATAAAGTCTTTATTTATAAATTAAAGTAATATAAGATTTAAATTATTATTATTAATAAATTTTTTATTATTTATTTAACTTATTAATTCTTAAAATTTAAAATTATTTATATTTTTTAATTTAATTTTTTACTTTTTTACATATTTATTAATTATATATTAAATATATTACTTATTTTATAAAAATAATATAATATCATTAATATTAAAATCTTAAATTAAATCTTTAAAAACATTTAATTTTAAAGTTAAAAGTAAAAAAAAAATTTTTATAAATTTATTAATTATAATAAATTTTATTAAACTATTTATATTATTTTTAAATAAATTATTTCTTTATTTAATAAAAATATTAAAATAATTAATAACGGATAAAATAAAAGATTTAAATTATTTAAATTTATATATTTATAAATTAACATTTTTATTATTTTTTAAAAATTTATTATTATATTAAAACTTTAAATTTAATTTATTAATATTATTATAACTTTTAAATTTAACCTTTTAAATTTTTTTATTCTTTATAATATTTTTTTTACTTTTTTTTAATAAATTAAAATTATTATTATAAAATATAATTTATTAAAAAATATTAAAAAATAAATATTTTTAAATATTTTTATAAAAATTCGATTTTAAGAAAATAAAATCTTTTTAAAGAATAAATAATTTTAAATAAATAATAAAATTTTAATAATATTTTATTTCGTTTTTAAAAAATTATAAATATAATTTAATTAAGATAAACGTATATAAGTTTTTTTTTAATAAAATATATTAATAAAATTTAAACTTTTTTAAAACACCTTTAAATTTAATATATTAATTTATTTATTTCTTTTTTAATTTTAATTTAATTTTAATTATTAAGTAATAATTATAAAAATAAATATATTAAAAAAAAAGTTTTTAATAAATATAAATATTGTATATAATTAATTATATATTTATAAAATATAAAAATGTTATTTATTTATAATTAAGTTTTTTATTATTATTAAAATCTTTATAAGTTAATTATTATAAATATAATTATTTTTAATAAATTGTTTAATATATAATATTTATATGTATTTAATTTTAATTATTAATTAATAAATATTTTATATTATAATTAAAAATATGATTATAAATATTAAAAAATAATAATTTT